ATGAGGAGTCCCTGGAGCATCTGGAGACCTTCAAACGGGAGAACAAGAACCTTCAGGGTGCGCTGGGGCCGGAGAGGCTGGGGAGGGGCTGGGGGTAGTCTCCTCATGTGGCGCCACCCAGGGGCTCCAGGAAGGGTGCCCCCCACATTGGACCATGGCAGCCCCCAACTGAGTGGCCCGGCCCCTCCCACAGAGGAGATCTCCGACCTGACTGAGCAGTTGGGTTCCAGTGGAAAAACCATCCACGAGCTGGAGAAGGTCCGCAAGCAGCTGGAGGCTGAGAAGCTGGAGCTGCAGTCGGCCCTGGAGGAGGCTGAGGTGTGTGTGCAGGATGTGGCCGGGGGGGCGGAGGGAAGCCGAGCTGTGGTCCCTGTTCTCATCTCCTTTTTGTCCGTTTTGTTCACTGGTCCATCCTTAGAGCCTAGAACAGTACCTGGCACATAGCAGCCACTCAACAAACATTGTGGAATGAATGAATGAATGAATGAATGAATGAACGAATAGGTCACTCTATGTCCTTCACACAGGCATTTTACCCTTTACATCTTAGACAAGATTTCCTGGATCCCCTCCCCTCTCCTTTCCGCCTCTGCCTCCCACTTGGGGATTTTTACATTCCGTTCCTGATTGCCTCCGTTTCCTTGGCAACACCTTTCTTTTCATTTTCCTCTTTGTCTTCATAGCTTGCTTTCCTCTGTGAAGGTCTGAACCACCTCTCCCAAGCCTTTTTTTTTTCTTTTAAATTCTCTTTTCTTCTTCCTCCTTCTGCTTCTTTGACTGAACCACTTAATACCGCTCTTGAACTCACTTTGTATCCATGATTCATGGACAGACCCCTGCCCCCGGCCCTGTGCCCTGACAGTCTGCCTCCGACCCTCCCTCCCCAACCCCTCCCAGGCCTCCCTGGAGCACGAGGAGGGCAAGATCCTGCGGGCCCAGCTGGAGTTCAACCAGATCAAGGCCGAGATCGAGCGGAAGCTGGCAGAGAAGGACGAGGAGATGGAGCAGGCCAAGCGCAACCACCTGCGGGTGGTGGACTCGCTGCAGACCTCCCTGGACGCGGAGACGCGCAGCCGCAATGAGGCCCTGCGGGTGAAGAAGAAGATGGAGGGCGACCTCAATGAGATGGAGATCCAGCTCAGCCAGGCTAACAGGATAGCCTCAGAGGCCCAGAAGCACCTGAAGATTGCCCAGGCCCATTTGAAGGTAACAGAAGGTGGGACTCTCAGAAGGGAGCTGCCCACAGGTCTGGTGAGGGCCCTGGGCTAACGCATATGAGAAACTGGGAGCCACTTACCTCCTGTACTTGGAGGCTTGAGGAAAGAGAACTGATCAGACCCCAAGTATGTCCTGGGCCAGCCCAGCCCCCGGGGCCTAGAGAATAGACGAGGGGATGTGCCCCTTGGCCCTATGCTTGACGGAAGGTTTGTGAACATGGCATCGGGTGCATCAGACCCCAAATGGGAAGCCCTGATGGGATGGGTACAGGTCTCCAACATGCTTCCCCCCACCCCACCCCCTCCAGGACACCCAGATCCAGCTGGACGACGCGGTCCGCGCCAACGACGACCTGAAGGAGAACATCGCCATCGTAGAGCGGCGCAACAACCTGCTGCAGGCGGAGCTGGAGGAGCTGCGGGCCGTGGTGGAGCAGACGGAGCGGTCTCGGAAGCTGGCCGAGCAGGAGCTGATCGAGACCAGCGAGCGGGTGCAGCTGCTGCACTCCCAGGTGAGCGGCTCACCAGCCAAGCAAAGAAACCAACCAAAGAGCACAGCCCACAACACCTAAAGAAGGGCAGAAACACCTGCACGCACAGAGCATGTCCAACTCCGACCACAAAGAACCTCAGAACACCAGCCACACCAACCAAAAGAAGAAGAGCAACGCAGACAGAACCAAGCCCAAACCACAAAGCGAAGAGGCGCAGCAGGAGTGCAGGAACGCCAAGGAAAAAACAAAGAAGGCAATCACCGATGGCAGGCACCAATCCCCCACCCCCCACACAAAAGACAGCAACAAGCGCCCTCGGTAAACACCAAACCGCGGCAACGTAAAAAACCAAAAATGAAGCCAACGGCAAACCAAAGGCCCAAGGAAAAACACACCACCCCAGGAAAACACACACACTCAACAGCCAGGCGCCCCAAGGACCAGTTCTGTCAAACCTACCGCAGGACCCCAGGCGGCCATGATCACAAAGCAACTAAAGAAGGAAAAGAAAACAAGCACCCACCCCGACCCCACGAACAAAAACAACGACAAGACCACCAAAAACATAAACAACCCCAGGAAAGAGGCCGAGCAAACAAACCTCAACCCAGGCAACAAGCAACGGCAGAAGCCGCAGGAACAGACACAGGACCAAAAAAATCAGAAGGAAGCCGACCAGAAGCCCAAGGCGGAGAAAAAAAAGCCCACGACGAAGAGCAAGAGCCGCAACAACCAGCAGACAGACCAGCAGCGGGCACCCTGGCTGCTCTGGGCTGGATCCCCTTCACCACCGCCTGAAGCCAGGGTGATACCACCAACAGGAATGAAGTGTTCTCTCTTAGCCTCCCCCAGGGCGAGGAGTGGGAGTGCGGCCCCCGGCTGCCCCGTTTCCACTCTGCCGAGCCCTGTTCTCCCCTGACTGTCCCCTGGCTAGAGGTCAACCTCTGAGCCTCTTGGCCTGGGAGCTCTGCCTCCAAGCTCACCCTCCACCTGTCCCCTGGGGACAACACCCAAAGCTCCAGACAGAGCTCACCCAGCACAGATTCCCAGAAAGCAAGTATGCTGCCAAGCTCCGGCTGAGTGCCATGACCACCAAAACACACCAAAAACTACCCCCAAAGTCATTCAACACATCTCAGAACTTTTTGGTTTGTTTTTAGAATCAGACTCCTAATTAGATTTTGCTTCTGTTCCAATCCAGAAAGTTACCATCTCGAGACACACATGTCCTTAGATCAAGTCTCTCTCATTTTCCTGTATCCCGGGAAAGCTCAGTATGCTGTCCCAGCGTTACTGCCAGTGCATGCTGGCTTCTAGAACAGGAGTGTTTATCCTCCATGGGGCCCCAGGACCCTTAAGGGCCTCCTCCCTGGAACAGCGCACACGTATGGTTTTGTGCAGAATTTCAGGATTCCATCAGCTCCCTAGACTCTTTCCTGAAACAAAACATTAAAAATATTAATAGTTTTGGATGGTAAAAAAAATTATAAGGAGAGTGCAAGAGTTTGTTGAGGATCAGAAAGTAGAAGTGGGTGAAGGTATTACATTCCAGGTAAAGTCAACAAGCAGGGGGAGGGGACAGGCTGCCTCTCATGACCATGCCTCACTCCTAACCACCTCACTCCTAACCACCCTGACCCCAGACGGAGGAGGACAGAAAGAACCTGCTGCGGCTACAGGACCTGGTGGACAAGCTGCAGCTGAAGGTCAAGGCCTACAAGCGCCAGGCCGAGGAGGCGGTGAGTGGCCCTGCTAGGGCCTGGGCCTGGAGGAGAGACACTGGGGAGCTGCGCCCTGCCCCCGGCTGGGAGGCTGAGAGAACCTCTGGCCTCCTCTCACCTCAGCCTCCCCGTCCCCGAACCCCCACAGGAGGAGCAGGCCAACACCAACCTGTCCAAGTTCCGCAAGGTGCAGCACGAGCTGGATGAGGCGGAGGAGCGCGCGGACATCGCCGAGTCCCAGGTCAACAAGCTGCGGGCCAAGAGCCGCGACATCGGCACCAAGGTGGGTCCCTCCCCTGGGCCTCACTAGTTGCCCCGTGTCAGCACATCCGCCAACGTCAGTGCCCCTCAGACCGAGCCCACTCATGCCAGGGATGCCTCCTCTTCATTCACTCCCCCCCACAACTGAACCCTGGAGCCCCAAAGGGCCAGGTAATGCAGTCATCCATGATTTCTAAGATTCTTCCAGCTCTAACTTTCAATGACTTTGTGATTCCCAGCCCTAGTGTGGTCAGCAACCTTAGAAGACCCCAATTTGTATACACCCACTATGTCCCAATTCCCCCCAACTGCTGGTCTTCTCTCATCTTCCACCTAGTTTTGGCCTATAGCCTAGTAACTCAGCCCTAAAGTGGACAGCCGAGAGGACCCCCCTTGCCCTCACTCAGGCAGCTTCCCTCTGGCCGACCTCAGGGCCCTCACGCCTCCACACCGACCCCTAGGACACATCTCTCACCACCAGGGGGCCTCCCTCAGGCCCAGAGCGGTCCCCCACCCCATCGGGTGCCCCATCTCCCCTTTATTTTCTGTGCCCGTCCCTGCCCAACACCCACCTTCCCAGAGTTAATTTGGACTTTGTTTCCTTTCAAAAGGGCTTGAATGAAGAGTAGTTTTGCCACATCTTCTTGATCGGCCCCATCCTGAGGGTGCTGATGAAGCCCCAGTTCCAGAGCCTCTATAGCAGCCCCTTTGGAGGAAGCAGAATAAAGTTATTTTCCTTGAAGCCAAGATCCGGCCTCCAGACTCTTCTTCACTGCCCGCCAGCCACAGGGACATGAACATGGGGTGGGGGGGTGTGGCTCAAGGGAGGAGGGGCCGCTTCACAGACAGCCCAAGGAGGCCTTCCTGGAGAGCCTGGAGGCTCTGAGCATCCTCGGGGCAGCATTGGCCCAGAAGCTCCCCTTCGTCTCCTCCTCAGCAGGTGACACCTGTCCTCTCGGCCCTCTCCCTGGTCCAGAGACCCGCCCCTCAGGGTTCAAGATTTAGAAAAACCCTTAAGGCTTGCTTAGAGCATGCGGAGCCCATCTGCTGTGGACTGACGCTGACCGACACGACCCCCACCACCACTGACAGCACCACTGAGGGCCGCCGGGAGAGGGCCGCCGGGAGAGGTTTAGGTACAGGGATGCCCTCTGAGGTGTGGGGTAATGGCAGGTGTCTGAGAGGGCACAGGGACTTGTGACTGCAGCCCATTTTACCCTTGTAGACACAGCCACCACTGCCTCCAACCACCCCGAGGCCAGGGCCCCCATCCCACCACAGCCAGAACTGTACCCTCAGCCCACCGTCTTCAGATCCCCCTTAGATCCCTCTCTGTCCACAGCGCTCCTTTCTTCTCCTTCACCCCTTCCTGCTGTAACTTCCTTTCCCAAGGCCCTCCTCATCTGGGCTTGCCGGAAGATGAGGCATCTTTGGCCCATTTATGGCTGGCCATCTGGAGGGGAGGCAGGCAGATGAGGGACCGTGGAGAGGAGAGTCCTGTGTGAACAGGCCTCTGGCGGGGGGGGCGGGCTGGGTATGGTGGCGGTGGCAGAGGGCTGGCAAGTGGAGAAAGGAGCAAGCCTCCTCCCAACAAAACAAGCGCAGCCCCCTGGAGTCACCGCCACACCTGGGCTGCTGAGGGAGGGCCTGGCACTGTGAGCCACAGGCGGCAGGTGCTCGCAAGGCATGGGGCTGTCCGCCACCCACTGGGAACCCCAGAAGGCCTGGCTCAGCCCTGCACCGAACCTCCCGCACCCAACCACACAGCTGCTCCAGCCAGGCTCCTCCTCAGCCCCGCGCTGAGCAGCCAGGGAGAGGGCTTACCCTAGGAAGAATCAGAGAATAGGAGGAGGGGGAGGCGGGGAGAGGGGGATAACGGAAAGGGAGATGCAGGGGAACCCCGAGAACACAAGCTGACTGCGGGCGCAGAGGAGAGAGGTGGGGAGCACGGTGGAGCCCGGCCACGGGCAAGAGGAGAGGGCTGATGTGTGGCGGAGCAGAAAGGCAGGGTGCACTTTGGAGAGAGGATGCCTCAGGAGCTGAGGGGGATGCTGCCGGGCAAGGGAAGAAATTCTGGGTCACCTTCAGATATGAGGAAAATCGGCAAGGCCAGGAGTAGTGACGTTAGAAAGGGGTGGACAGAGACCCTGGAGCAAGACGCAGAGGCAGAGATGAGACAGGCGGAGGGCGAGCAGAGGTAGGGCTGAGGGCAAGCAGAGGCTCGTGGAAATGTCGGCATGTCAGCCCCCAGGATGGGCAGAGACCGGGCTCCAGGGAGCCTCGGAGGCCAGGCCCAACTTTGAGACAGGGAACCGGGCAGAGGGAAAGGGAGGTCAGCCGGAGACAGACAGAGATCCAGGGAGCCAGGCACAAGGTGGCGACCTGGTGTCCCCTCTCCTGTGACAGGAGTCTCCATCCCGTGCCCTCGTGCCCCAGAACTCGCAGCACAATGAGATACTGCTGTGGGAGGCAGCTGAGGGGGGACGGAGCACAGGGATGGATGTGGAAGCCGGCGGAGAGGAGGCCACCTATGGGGGGGAAGTTGGGGGGAAATGGACCAGAGAAGGAGGCTGAGCCCTGGAATCAACCTCTTCCCTCTTCCTCCTTCCACTGGAGACAGTGGGAATGGCCTGCCCACCCCTCACCCGCTGCTCCACCTCTACTGAGTCTGGCCTGCTCACAACACAGGGTTCCCTGAGGACAAAGCCTGGTCTCTGTCGGCTGGACCTGACCCAGCCCGACCTGGTGTTCTTAGCCCCTTATCACCTCCCCAGGGCAATGGGAACCGGGCACTGATGCCCTGGGCTAACCCCCCAGCTTGCACACCAGGGCCTCAAGTGACCTAGAGCTGGGGACAGGGGGTCTGCATCCCTTGGGGGGTAACACTTTGGTGTATGTACCTGAAGGAGATGTGGATGTGGGGTTGACGCAGGTTCCCCCCACCCCCAAGGACACTGGGTATAGGGTACAAGTCCCCTGGAACAGATGTGTGTTCCTGAGTCCAGTAATGGGGCAGTGGAGGGTCCTAGGGAGTTGGGGACCTCGGGGGAGAAGCCACATATTTAATGGAAACCTCTCCTACCCGGAGAAACTGACCCTTGTCTGTCCTACCCGCCTCCACACTCTAGAGCTATATTGAGAGGTGACAGTGGATGGGGTGGGAGGGGGGAGCTGGGAGAGTGTTCCTGCGTGTGAGGGTGTGTGGAAAAGCCAGAGCAGGGGAGTCTGGCTTTGTTTCCTGAACACAATGTCCACTTAGTCATACCAGGCACGGCCTGCTGAAGACCCAACACCTACTGCCTCTGAGAGGTGGCATCGCTGGAGGCCAGGGAGGGGGGCCTTGAGGGCCTGGGGCACTCGGGGACGCCTGCAAAGAAGGGCATGTGGGTATGAGCCCCAGGAAGTTTGGGAGAGGACACCAGAGTTCTACCTGAGGAAGGGGAGACGGACTGCAGAGCCCCCCCGCCCCCACCCCATGGAATGCAGAGCTTGGGGCCCAGCTGGTGTAAATCCCTGGGCCTGCCAGGCGCCCCAGCCAGCCTCAGCAGCACCTGCACCCTCTGGCAGCCGGGAAGGGAGCAGCCCCCCACCCCCACCCCTCCTCCCTCGGGCCAGGATTAATGCCTTCTGCCTTTCCCCACCCCCTCCCCGTCCCACACCAGGAGTAGTGGAGGGTAAAACTTCTGTGTGTGAAAGTGGGTGTGCAAATGTGCGTATCAGTGTGCCTAACAGCAAGTGGGAAAATCTGTGATCATAAGTGTGTAAGTGTGAACCATCTGCATGTGCGGGGCTAAGAATGCACATGGACGTGCGTTTGTCAGGTTGATAGGGGAGGGTACAGGACTGTGGGTCTGAGTGCAAATCTGCTGTGGTGGCCTGGGAGAATTCCCTCTCCTTTGAGAGGACAGATGGTGGCCACTGCATCGGGAGCATCGCGGGAGGGGCCAAGGGCTCCAGATGTGTCCCCAAAGCAGCACAGCCTCAAGTCCTCAGGAGGATACCTGCCTGGAGATTTGGGGAACAGAAGGAAACCAAGCACTGCATTTGTGCAGAGAGAGGGTAACACAGACATCTTCTTTTTTTTTTTTTTTTAATATTTTATTTATTTATTTGACAGAGAGAGACACAGCGAGAGAGGGAACACAAGCAGGGGGAGTGGCAGAGGGAGAAGCAGACTTCCCGCTGAGCAGGGAGCCCGATGCGGGGCTCGATCCCAGGACCCTGGGATCATGACCTGAGCCGAAGGCAGACGCCCAACGACTGAGCCACCCAGGCACCCAACATCTTCTTTTTTCTAACAAAGGGAGTCACGGAGCTGGGCAGCAGCTTCCCCTTGTTGGGCATCCCGGCTCCAGCTCCCAGCCCCTAACACTGTGGGACTTCAGGTCAGAGAGGGTAGGCAGATGCTCCCAGCCTGGGGCTGTGTGAGGACAGGCCAGGGTAGAAACGGGTAGAAGGGTGCGGAACCCACGGTTGGGGTGCAGGGGACAGCATCTGGCCTGTAGGAGAAGGTGACTCTTGCCCAGTGTGCTCGGCTCACCCTTCAGGTTAAAAATAACAAAGGTAAGGGCCTGGCGGGCACGGGCGTTTGTGCGAGAAGGTCCTGTCTTCCTGCTATCTGCCATACATCAGGTCTTTGGAGGGAAGGAATGTGCCCAAGGACTAAAAAAAGGCCCTGGAGCCAGAGGGGCTAGGGTGACAGACCTTTCATGGGCAAATCTAGAGGCCCTGCTGTCCTCCTGTCACCTCCAGAGCCAAGGGATCAAGGGAGGAGGAGCTGGGAGGGAGGGTCCCTCCGGAAGGACTCCAAATTTGGGCAGGGGGTGGGGGCAGCGGCGTATAAAGGAGATTGCTCCCGAGGACAGACAGACACTCCTCTGAACAAGGTAAGAGGGGTTTTGGGAGACTCTTTGGCCAGTCCCCAGAGCCCCCACCTTGAGGGACTCTGCCTTCTTGGAGAACGGGGTGCAGGGTGGTCTGAGGCCCAAGGGTGCTGCTAGAACTGCCTTGCTCCAGCCCCGGGAAGTTCCCACTGACAGAGGGGAGGTTCCCAGGGAAAAACCAGAAACTTCTCTCCTCTGATCTGCCTTTCTTTCCCTGCCTCTGCTGTCCCCTACTTTCTGTATCCTCCATGCTCTGTCTCCATCCTCCTCCCACCTCCGATGGCTTTCTGCTCTTTGTCTGGTGTTATTTTGTCTCCTGGTCTTTGTCAATACCCGTCTCTGTGGTACTTCTTTGTCTGTCCCCTTGCCCTTCCTTCCTGGCTGCGTGTTCTAATCGCCTCACCTCTCTCTATTGCTCTGATCCCACCTCCGCCCCTGGCGCTTTCACTAACTCTGCATCCTTTCTTCACTGACTCTCTGCATCTTCTCTCTCCCAAATTCCCCATTTGGTCTGTCCTGCTCATCCGGCTCTTTGGGTCGATCCTCCTGGCTCACTTCTCCCCACTGGCCCTTCTCCACTGTCCTCTCTCCTCGTCTGGTCTTCCCTCTGCCTGTGTCTCTGTGGCTCCACCCATGGTTCAGAGTCTTCAGGATTCTCTGTGAAGAGATAACCAGGTGAGAACCACCCCCAATTTTCTCCTGGGAGCCAGGTTGCTGGACCAGGGCCCCCTGTCTCTCCTCCAGGCAGCTCAGCACCTCCCCGTGCAGACCCTTAGAGAGGCTCCTTCAGCTCCTTCAGTCAGAGGGCAAAGGAAGTAGAACCTGAAGCATGGGGAGGACAGGACCCAGGCCCGGATCTTCTCAGTGGGAGGGAAGAACACAGCGCCAGGTGGTGAGGAGGTGTGGCCAGGTGTAGGTGCCACCCACTGAGGCTTGGGCCCTCCTGTCGCAGGCACAGGGAAGCACTAAAATGACTGATGCGCAGATGGCCGATTTTGGGGCGGCAGCCCAGTACCTCCGCAAGTCAGAGAAGGAGCGTCTGGAGGCCCAGACCCGGCCCTTCGACATCCGCACTGAATGCTTCGTGCCCGATGACAAGGAAGAGTTTGTGAAGGCCAAGATCTTGTCCCGGGAAGGGGGCAAGGTCACTGCTGAAACAGAGAATGGCAAGGTGTGTGGGGCATAGTGCCAGGGAAAGGGAGAGAAGGTTTGGTGGGGGTTGCATGGGGGGGAGCACTTGCAGGGGGAGCTGAAGGCTCTGGAGAAGAGCCAAAGTCAGCAGGAGTGCAGGACATGCCCCCTCGAGGAACCCAGCTCTTCGATGAGAACTCTGACGTTTCTCAAATGGACCTGAGCAGGTGTAACAGCGCACCACACCAGGGATGTGTGCCCTTTGCCAGATATGGTGCTGGGGCAAGGGTGGGGGGACCTCCCCTGGTATCGGCCTCAGCAGGGTCCTGGAGATAAAGAAGACACAGACACAGCATCAAGTAAAGTTCCCTCTTGAATGTGTATCCCTCCTCTCTGTGCCTCAGTTTCCTCCATGGACCAACACCCCCAGATCCACCTCACTCAAACCAAGAGCAAACTCTTAGACCCAGATGAATGCAAAAAGCAGGAACTCTTTAGCTGAACGCTCAGTCCCGGGGCTGGTGACTAGCACTCAGAAGTCCACAGTACCTGCTTCCTCACGCAAGCCGTGAGAATTGCCACTGGTCACTAGCAGCAGCTCACAACTGTCTGCCTTCACACATGCCAACTGACTGTTGGGTCCCAACGAGGTGTGCAACGACAGGCCACAATCTGCTGGGGGCTTTGACTCTAATCCCGGCTCTGCTACCGGCTATCTACCAAGCTGGAAAACCGTTTTAACTATTCTAGCCCCAGCTTCTGCCACTGTCAAAAACAATACTAGAATACCTACCTGCAGGGTCTGATCACATTAGGGCATGGCAAACTGACTGGTACCAATCGAACCACACTGATGGTGACCAATGGGGAGTGTAGGGTTGGTCGGTGAGATGTTTTCCAGCAGGGCACGGTTGGCCCTGAGCAACTGATGCCCACAAGCAATGCCCCCAGGAGTCAGGGTAAGGTGTGTGCACAGACTGGAGAGCTGCCAGCCCCGCCAAGTTTGCCCCTAGATGCTTGAAGCAGGGACAGAAAGGTGCTGCTCATGCGCACAAGCCCTGGGGCACTGGCAAGACACAGAGACCCTAGCATGAAGGGACAGTGAGCAGTAAGTTGTCTGGGGAAAGCGCTATGGGGGAGCCACGGGGCAGGGCTTGGGCACTGGTCAAAGAAGAGTTGGGGGAGCGAGGCCAGGTAGTGGCCCATGTTCTGGGAGGAGGAGGAGGTAGGTGGGCAAGGCTGGTGAGCGCCAACTGGCAAGGTGGGAGTGTGGTCATCCCTGTCCATGCACCCACCCCAGACGGTGACCGTGAAAGAGGACCAGGTGTTGCAGCAGAACCCGCCCAAGTTTGACAAGATCGAGGACATGGCCATGCTGACCTTCCTGCACGAGCCCGCCGTGCTCTTCAACCTCAAGGAGCGCTACGCCGCCTGGATGATCTACGTGAGTGCATGTGGCAGGAAGCCAGTCCTGGATGGAGGCTAAAGTAGGCCAGGGCAACTCTCTCAAGGCGAGGGGTCAGAACTCTCCCAAGGGGCCCAGCTCCCCTCTGCCCCCTTCCTACCCCTGGTCAGCTGCAGGAAGAGAGGAGCCAGTGGGGGTGACCAGGGACTCCCCGGCCTGTCACCACCTGCCCCAGGCTTCCCCCTCCAGCCCCTCATGCCTGCCCTCTCTCCTGCTCCCAGACCTACTCGGGCCTCTTCTGCGTCACCGTCAATCCCTATAAGTGGCTGCCGGTGTACAACGCCGAGGTGGTGGCCGCCTACAGGGGCAAGAAGAGGAGCGAGGCGCCGCCCCACATCTTCTCCATTTCTGACAACGCCTATCAGTACATGCTGACAGGTGAGTCTGGCAGCCCTGACCTGTGACCCCTCAGCCCCGTACCGGTGGACCTGACCCTGTTGCCTCTCCTCTTTTCTCTTCCAGATCGGGAGAACCAGTCCATCCTCATCACGTGAGCAAACGCCATCCACCCACATAGGGATTTGGCAGAGACCCAGGCTGATTCCTGGGGGTGCAGAGGGGGGGAAAGGTTTAAGGTTGTGATTGCAAGGAGTGCGGGGAGCTGGGCTCTCAGAGGGGTGTCGGAGTGACCTACAGTGATATGCAAATTCTGCAGGGCCCTGGGTCCTGGTGGAGGAGGTTAGAAGGCTGCGATTCTGAGGGAGGAGGGTGCATTGGGCTGAACTCCAAATGGAGCATAGGGGAAATCTTGGATTCTGATGGGTCCCTCTCGCCTCAAGTGGAGAATCTGGTGCAGGGAAGACTGTGAACACAAAACGTGTCATCCAGTACTTTGCCAGCATCGCGGCCATAGGTGACCGTGGCAAGAAGGACAATGCCAGTACAAACAAGGTACGGGGTGGGCCACAAGCTCAGCAGAGGGGACCTGGGGGCAGGCTGACCCAGGTGACCCCTAGCCTTGCCCTGGGGAACAGTGGGGACAGCACTACTGAGGCCAGTGCTCAAGACCTTCCTGGCGGGCGCCTGGGTGGCTCAGTCGGTTAAGCGTCTGCCTTCAGCTCAGGTCATGATCCCAGGGTCCTGGGATCGAGTCCCATGTCGGGCTCCCTGCTCTGCAGGGAGCCTGCTTCTCCCTCTGCCTCTGCCTCTTTCTTTCTCTCTCTGTCTCTCATGAATAAATAAATAAAATCTTAAAAAAAAAAAAAAAAGACCTTCCTGGCAGGAGATACACACTCTGATGTCCGTATATGGCCCTTCGGAGCCACAGACCCACCCGCAGTGCATCCAGCCCCACCCCCATTCCCCAGGACCAGAGCAGCCCCCTGTCCTCCCTACTGCTGGAGATGGACAGAAGATAAACCCTCGGGGTTCTGCTGCTTTTACAGGGCACCCTGGAGGACCAGATCATCCAGGCCAACCCCGCCCTGGAGGCCTTCGGCAACGCCAAGACCGTCCGGAACGACAACTCCTCCCGCTTCGTGAGTGCCTTTGACAGCTGCCCACTGGCCTCATTTGGCCTCGACAAGAAAAGGGGGAGTGCTGTTTTGTCAACAGTCACTACACCCAGTTGATCATCCTGTGTTTGGCTTTGGGATATCAACAAGCATGCGGTGCACCAGCCTGTGCGTGTGCACACACACACATACACACACACACTCAAACCCTCCTGACTCAGCCTGGCTCCCTGAGGTCTGAGAATTCAAGAAAAGAGACCCAGAGTCACCATAGCTATTCCATAGCCAAGTAATGGAGCTGATGTGTCACATTCTAGATTTTCCAAATGACTTTTTCCAGAACTCTTCCACATTGGAAGTGGGAAGACAGCATAGGTACTGGAGCCAATTCTCCAGCTTCCCACCTGCCCAGCAAGTCCCCACACCTCTCTAAGTCCCAGTTCCTTTATCTATGAAACAGAGGTAGCAATATTTACCTTGCAGGTTACTGAAAGGATTGAGATCATATCAGAGGTACAAACGGGAGGCATTGTATCTGTGTTCATTCCCGTGTTGTTGTTTCTGCTCAGAGATACTTAGTAATATGGAGATAAGCATCCTTTCCCCTGTTTCACTGAAACTAACCTGGGACACCAAATAGGTCATTAACATTTCCAGAACCACCCAGGGCTTTCTGGATTGTGTTGAGGTCCAAGATCTCCATTCTGTCCCTTCTGACCAGTTCCCTGACTCTTTGTCCCATCCACCCCCAGGGGAAATTCATCAGGATCCACTTTGGAGCCACTGGAAAGTTGGCTTCTGCAGACATAGAGACCTGTGAGTATGGCGGGGAGCCCTGCACACCCCTCTGTGTCTTCCGCCTCTGCGTTCTTTCCCAGCTGGGCCACCCTATCTCAACATTCCCTCTCCATCTTCTTTCCTCTTCCCCTGGCTCTCTCCATTTTGCTATAAGAGCATTTCTCCCCTAATCTCCACCCTTTTGCTGGATCAACCCTCTCCCCGTCCTTACCTGCCTTCCTCCCTTCTCCTCACTTCAGATCTCCTGGAGAAGTCCCGGGTGATCTTCCAGCTGAAGGCTGAGAGGAATTACCACATCTTCTACCAGATCCTGTCCAACAAGAAGCCAGAGCTGCTGGGTGAGCCTGCCTAATGCCTCAGAGCCCCCATTGCCCTCCCCAGGCAGGTTGGGTGTCCTCCTCCTGCTCACCTGCCCCTGTTCACCTCTCTCCTCCTTCAGTCTGCTTAGGTGTTCTCTTCCTTCCCCAACTCAGATCTGCCTGCAACTCCTCCCGCCTCTCTTCCCACTCTTTCTTTGTCATATTTCTTCTCCTCCTCCTGGTTGGTTTTCCCCTTCTCCTCTTTGTGCCTCCCCTGCTCCCAGGTGTCATTCTCCCACTGTCCTCCCTCCCCAGTCCCCTGCCTACTTTTTCACGTCTTTTGGATTCTCTGCTTGGTCCTTGCTGACTCTCCTCCTCTCTCCCTGCTCCTGGTCCTCTCTTCCATTGTCACTGCCCCACCCCCACCGTGCCCTTCCCCCAACCCCTCTCTGCCCATCCCCTGCCCTCTCCTGTCCCCTTGTCCCCTTCCCTGCTCCTTGCCTGGACAGACATGTTGCTGGTCACCAACAACCCCTACGACTACGCCTTCGTGTCTCAGGGAGAGGTGTCCGTGGCCTCCATCGATGACTCCGAGGAGCTCATGGCCACAGATGTGAGTGAGGAGGCAGCATGAGAGCTCCTGAGGGTTCCTGCACCACCAAATCCAACCACCTTCTTTGCCTCTCTTGCTCTGTCCTAGAGCGCCTTTGACGTGTTGGGCTTCACTCCCGAGGAGAAAGCTGGAGTCTACAAGCTAACAGGCGCCATCATGCACTACGGGAACATGAAGTTCAAGCAGAAGCAGCGGGAGGAGCAGGCCGAGCCAGATGGCACCGAAGGTGGGGGCAGGTGCTGAAAAGGCCTGAGGTGCTGGGTGTTCACCTGTCATGAGGAGATAGTCCACTGGGAGCAGGGTCTCCTGTGCTATGTCCAAAAATGGTGCTATTCAACAATTCTTGAAGAGCTAGGCTGACAACCTAGTTTTATCAAGGTTATTAGGACCATGACAGCAAAAGTGGGAGGAAACCAGAAGTATGAGAAGCACATGGTCAGAGGGCAGTACCTCTTCCCAGGGGCAGGGCCCTCACACTATCCAGCCCTACCTCTAGGCTCTCTCCTTGTTAGAGTCTTGTCAGAGGCCACCCACTGTTCCCAGACAGGCTGGTTCTTGGCGACCTGAGGCCTGTGGGGTAGATGGATGGGGTGAGAACCAGGGAGGGGCAAGGATGTGTGAGAGATGGGCAGACAGGGAGACCCCCACCATCCTGCCAAATCTTCAACCCCAGCTGCACTGACCAGAAGTGAGTTCGGGATGTCTCCTCCTGGGCCCAAGACTCACCCAAGCTCAGGAAAGCACAGACTCTAGAGCTCTGCACATCCTGATCATTAATGCAGTGTGTATGTGGAGCATGCCCAGCCCTTGGATGAGCCCCTTTCAAGCCCTGTGCCATGTTCTGTTTGGGAGGTAAGGGCCAGGGGTCAGGATATAGCTTGGCATTAATATGTCGCATACCTCCCTGGGCCTCAGTTTCCTCCTTAGTGAAATGGAACAACAGCCCTCCCTAGCTCACCCTGGGGCTGTTGTAAGAATTCATTGAGAAGGAAATGTCAAGGTGTGAACAGGGCTAGCTAGACAAATGCCCAAGAACATTCCTCTTAGCCTACCTTCAAGGACCCCTTTTGTGTCTATCCAGATCAAAATGCCAAGCCTGGGTTTCATGACAGCATGTCATCAGCTATCACAAAACTCTTGAAATTGAATCAAATACATTTTCTCTAAATAGAGATCATATGTTGGATGGCACAGGTGGAGAGTTAGGGTGGGAGGGGTAACATGCTGTTAGGAACCTTGATTTCAAGTTGTTCGCCACATGGATTAAGAGTGGAACAGGCCCAGTCCTGGATCAGATCCTGGGATGGGAGCAAAGGAGGCAGGGAGCAGCGCACATCTCTGTCAGCCACAGTCCCTGCCTTGGAGACATGGGAATGTGCTCATAACAATGCTGGTCAAGGGCCTGGACCAGGGACACTGAGCAGATGTTAAAGACAGAGACGACAGGAACTGCTGGGTGGTGGGAGGTTCTGGACAGACGAGGAGGCCTGGGCTCCAGCCTGATTCTGCACACTGGCTACGTGCTCCCTGGCAAGCCTCGTGCCCTTCCAGGCCTGGATTTGCACCTCTTAAGTGAGAGCGGATGGACCCGATGCTTCAGAAAGGCTCTGGCCCTGGAGCAGGGAAAGAGGGTCTGCCGAAAGTGCTTGCTTGCTTCTTTCCTTCTCCACCAGATGCCGACAAGTCCGCCTACCTCATGGGGCTGAACTCAGCTGACCTGCTCAAGGGGCTGTGCCACCCTCGGGTGAAAGTGGGCAACGAGTACGTCACCAAGGGGCAGAGCGTACAGCAGGTGTACTACTCCATCGGGGCACTGGCCAAGGCAGTGTACGAGAAGATGTTCAACTGGATGGTGACACGGATCAATGCCACCCTGGAGACCAAGCAGCCACGCCAGTACTTCATAGGGGTCCTGGACATCGCCGGCTTCGAGATCTTCGACGTGAGTGGGGGGAGCCTAGGCGCATATGTGCGGGGGAGGGGGCAGTGACTCACTCATTTGCACCTGTGACCATCATGGCCAGTGGCCAGTCGCGGGAGAGACAGTGGGGCTCAGGGGTGGCAGACACATCGTCCTGTCTCCCAGGGGAGCTCCCCCTTCCTGGCCTGACAGGGGAGGGGACCAGTCACACCCCTGGCTGGACTTGGGCACGGGCCTGGGCTGACCCCACTGGCCCCTCAGACCCCTGCCTGCCTGACCCGCTCCGCCCCCACCCCCTGCAGTTCAACAGCTTTGAGCAACTGTGCATCAACTTCACCAACGAGAAGCTGCAGCAGTTCTTCAACCACCACATGTTCGTGCTGGAGCAGGAGGAGTACAAGAAGGAAGGCATCGAGTGGGAGTTCATCGACTTTGGCATGGACCTGCAGGCCTGCATCGACCTCATTGAGAAGGTGCTGCCTCCACCCACTGCTTGTGTTTCCTTCCCTTGGCATCCCAGCCAGAGTGGCAGGGCTGTCCCTTCTACAGCCAAGAAACTAGAGTCCCCAGAATCCCCAGCCTCTCTCAGACCCAGCTTCTACCCACTGTGAAGTCATACATGGGATGAGCCCCCTTCTCCTCTCCCCAGGACCTAAGACCTTGTCCTGTATGGTGGTCACCTCCCAGAATCTTAAGAAGGAGTTGTAGTGAGGGGAGGACTCCTGGACCCTCTGACAGTCCATGGGAAGCGTCATCTATGGAAAGATCCTAGGCTGACACTAGAAACATTTGGCTTCCCACCCTTTTCCTGATAGCTGATAATAAGCCAGTCTTCAGCTCCTCTTGTCCACAGACTCAGAGGAGACAAGAACGGAGCTGGTGTGAGGTTCCCAGTGCTGGCTTGTTCTCAGTGTGCTTTTGCTGGTACAGCCCAGAGCCCAGAATAACTACCCTCACCCAGCCCGCCGGTGCCCTTCAGAAAACTGGAGCTTCCCAGAAGCTCTGGGTGGTTATCCAAGGTGCTGCTCTTCCAGAGGTCTCAGAATCACCTGAAAGTATATGGAAAAGAGTGTGTGTATGTATATGCACGTGCACGCACACACACACATGTGTTTACATGCATTTTTCCAGGGAGGCATCTTCAGTTTAATCAAATTCTCATTAGGATTCCTGTCCCAAGGAAAGTCAAGAACCACCAGACTCTCTGAAAAGCAGAATGTTGTGCAGAACATGGATCCCTCTAACCATCCCTTGGAGAACTGTTACCCATCATATAGGCAGAGGTCTGGCCTGCCCCTCAGTCTGGCACCTCTGACATACACCTGTCCTGGGGCAATCCAAGAAGGAGGGACTTGCTGCAAGGCCTTGGGGACCTGGCAGTGTGGCTGGGAGCACAGGGCTCTTCACTAGGTCCACTGAGGCAGAAAGAGGTTATAGGCCAGATCTGAATAGAATTAGATTTAGGTTAATTCCAAGAATATTAGGGTCCTATATTGGGACAAGAGGTGCTAGCCCAGACACTGTAGCCTGCCAGGTCTACTGGGCTGTAGTTTCTCCTCTGGCAAGGTGTGGGGCTCTGGAAACCTGGGAGTGCATGCAGTGATGCTCTCTCTACCTCCCCACCCCCTGCTCTCAGCCCATGGGCATCATGTCCATCCTGGAGGAGGAGTGCATGTTCCCCAAGGCCACTGACATGACCTTCAAGGCCAAGCTGTATGATAACCACCTGGGCAAGTCCAACAACTTCCAGAAGCCACGCAACATCAAGGGGAAGCAGGAAGCCCACTTCTCCCTGATCCACTATGCTGGCACAGTGGACTACAACATCCTGGGCTGGCTGGAGAAGAACAAAGACCCACTCAACGAGACAGTGGTGGGCTTGTACCAGAAGTCCTCCCTCAAGCTCATGGCCACACTCTTCTCCACCTATGCTTCTGCTGATGTCGGTAAGAGGGCAGCCCCTGACCTGGGCCAGAGCAATTCTGAAGTTGCCAGGGGCCAGGGGCCCTCTGCTTCAAAGCACAGGATTCTAGAGGCAGAAGAGAACCCACCAACCATGGGATGGGGGTCAGGAAATCTCACAGTAGTCATTCTGCCACTGATCTGTAGAAGGGCCATTTTCCACTTTATGTTATGGATATTGGTGTACATGTCGAGTGTCTCCTCAAGACTGAACAACTGGAGGTGAGTGAGGCACATGCATTGCTGTGCCAGGCCCCGCGTAGAGCTGTGCCTGTGGGAGGTCTTGGTAAATGTTGAGAGGATCACCGAACATCTGGCAGCACAGGTGAGTGTCCCGTTCAGAGAAGGAAGAGAAAGGCTGTGGCTTGGGAGGAGGAGGAACTACAGGAAGGAAGGTAGACCGTGGAAAGAAGCAGGCATGAAGGGAGGGGTTCGAAGAAGGTGGGAGAAGAGCACTCATACGATTTCAGCACCTACTATGTGGCAAGCAAGCTTATCTAATCTCCATCCCAGTTTTTAGAGGCAGTTACTGTTCTCGTCGTGGGAAAACCAAGATGTGGAGAATCACTTTGTGAAGTCACACGGCTAGTGAGAGGCAGAGCCCTGCCCCCGACCAAGGGTTCCTCAGCTTTCGGACTCTGGCTCCTCATCCCTTCTCTTGTTATTAGGGGACAGCGGTAAAGGCAAAGGAAGCAAGAAAAAGGGCTCATCCTTTCAGACAGTGTCGGCCCTCCACCGGGTAAGAAGGTCCCAGAGATGCCAGGGGGCCTGCGGTGGGCAGGCCCAGCCCTTTGACTGTGTCGCCCTAATCTGATTCTCTGAGTCTGGGGAGGAAAGAAGCTAGAGCTATGTGGTCACTTTGGGCATGTAAATTCTACACAAACCTGAACTCCCATCATAAATTATGTGTCAACTCTTGGTCCCTTGGAGAATTCTGGAGACAGGCTGTCAGGGACCCAGGGCCCAAAAAGATGGTCCCTGTGGCTCCTGACTCCCCGCTCTCACCCACCCCAGGAGAATCTGAATAAACTTATGACCAACCTGAGGACCACTCATCCTCACTTTGTGCGCTGCATCATCCCCAATGAACGGAAGGCTCCAGGTGAGCGATGTGTAAAGGTTTAGTCTGGGGAGGGCACTTGGCATCCACTTGCCCTGAGACCGACACCTTCTCCTCTCCTGCTGCAGGGGTGATGGACAACCCCCTGGTCATGCACCAGCTGCGCTGTAACGGTGTGCTGGAGGGCATCCGCATCTGCAGGAAGGGCTTCCCCAACCGCATCCTCTACGGGGACTTCAGGCAGAGGTGGGTACAGGGGCACCCTAGAGCTCAGGGAACAGGGGGAGCCCGGGCAGACTTAGTGAGGAAGGGAGTCCACAGGTGGCCCCGAATGCTGTGGGCAGAACAGATCGGTGCAAAATGTGGGTGACTTGGGGCACCTCCCTCTCCAGGTACCGCATCCTGAACCCAACAGCCATCCCCGAGGGCCAGTTCATTGACAGCAGGAAAGGGGCAGAGAAGCTGCTGGGCTCCCTGGACATTGACCACAACCAGTACAAGTTCGGCCACACCAAGGTGGGTCTAGAGCCCCACAGGGTGGCGCTGCGGGACATGTCACCACCTTGAGCAGAGCAGCTGGGGGTTTGGAAAGCAGGCCTCTGATTCCTGGCTTCCTGTATTAATCCAAGGGCTGGAACCCAGGCTTCTTTTCTGTCTTGTTCTTCATGTTTCACTCTGAGGTCTAGGATATATGGGAAATGGGTCACCTGGGAGCTTAGTCAGCACCTCCTTCCCTCTTCCTCCACCCTGGCTACCCTTCTCTGAGGCTGCAGCCCTCTTGCCTGCAGGTGTTCTTCAAGGCAGGGCTGCTGGGGCTGCTGGAGGACATGCGGGATGAGAGGCTGAGCCGCATCATCACCCGTATCCAGGCACAAGCCCGGGGCCAGCTCATGCGCATTGAGTTCAAGAAGATTGTGGAGCGCAGGTGAGGCAAGGGAAAGGGCGAGGCTCTCCCAGAGATGTAAAAGGTAGACAAGCAGTGCTAACTGGTGTGACTCCGAAGACCTGAGTTCAAATCCTGACTTCACCACTTACTAGCTGGCTTGAGCAAGTGACTACCATGCTAGGTCTCATTTTGAATTCTTTACAAAAAGAAAATTCCCCATAAAGAATGAGATACCATTTTAAAACACCAGCTTGACAAAAATCAAGAAGTCTGACCCACTGCTTACAGGTACATAAATTAGCACAACCTCCCTGAAAAACAATTTATCATTATCTTTTAAAGATGGACAATTGCAGGGGTACCTGGCTGACCCAGTCCATAGAGCAAGCAACTCTTGATCTCGAGGTCATAAGTTTGAGCCCCATTTTGGGGATAGAGAACATCCCAAAATAAAAAAAATAAAAAATATGGACAATTGCATAGCTTCCAATTCCATTCCTAAGTGCATTCCCACAGAAACTCCTGCATGTATACAACATGGGACAAAAAAGAATCTTCATAGCAGCATTGGCCAAAATAGCAAAGATTTGGAAACAACTCCAATTTCCATCTCCAGGGGAATGGGTAAATAGTATAGCTGTTCAGTGCAATATTATAAAGCAATGAAAGGAGGAACTTACAACCACATGGTGCAATGTGTTTGAGCCTCAGAAGCCTATGGTTGAGTGAACAAAAGCAAGTCATGGAAGGATACATATAATGTAATATAATTTTTATAAATCTCAGAGATACTAAAAAATAGTGACATATTGTTTAAAGACACGTACATATATTGTTAAAGTATGTTTTGAAAAAGTAAGGAAATGAAAAACACAAGATTAAGGATAGTGGCTGCTTCTGGTGGGGGCACCAGGAAAGGGGATGAGAAGCACACTGAGAGAGCCAACACTGGCAAAATGCTCTTCTAGTTGTTGTTCGAAGGATTGATAGGTTCATGCATAGTCATTTTGTTTCATGCTTCATAACTTACATATATACTATAGATATTCTTACATGTAAAATATAATTTTTTAACATATCTGAGGTTCTTATGGAATTAGAAACACTGAACTTAGTAGACACTCTCTGAATGGTGTAGCTTTCATTACTACTAACGCCCCAGTAGGGAAGATATAAACTGCCCTTTTGTTGAATTAATTAATAAATATTTATTGAGCAACTCCATGTTCAGTGTGATAATGTTGGAGTGGGGGTGCATATCAAGGCAACAAGACAGGGCTCCTGCCCTCAGGTGCCTATGAGCTTGTTTAGATGGGCTGGGAGCCAATTGCAGTTGGTCCCATGCTTGGGAAGTGCTCTTTCAGAGTGCCCCTTCCTGCCTCCGTGTTTCCTTGCCAGGGATGCCTTGCTGGTAATCCAGTGGAACATTCGGGCCTTCATGGGGGTCAAGAACTGGCCCTGGATGAAGCTCTACTTCAAGATCAAGCCACTACTCAAGAGCGCAGAGACAGAGAAGGAGATGGCCAACATGAAGGAGGAGTTTGCACGCATCAAAGAGGCGCTGGAGAAGTCAGAGGCTCGCCGGAAGGAGCTGGAGGAGAAGATGGTATCCCTGCTGCAGGAGAAGAATGATCTCCAGCTCCAAGTGCAGGCGGTGAGGCCACACGATGATCTCTTCATTCCTCCCCTTTCCTCCCCTGGATTATAGCCCATCTCATCCCCAGGAACTAAGACGCTGGATCTTTCCTCTCTTTAATCACCAACTCTCCTCTCTGTGCTCTTCTCCAGGAACAAGATAACCTCAATGATGCAGAGGAACGCTGCGACCAGCTGATCAAGAACAAGATCCAGCTGGAGGCCAAGGTGAAGGAGATGACCGAGAGGCTGGAGGACGAGGAGGAGATGAATGCAGAGCTCACTGCCAAGAAGCGCAAGCTGGAAGATGAGTGCTCTGAGCTCAAGAAGGACATTGATGACCTGGAGCTGACGCTGGCCAAGGTGGAGAAGGAGAAGCATGCGACAGAGAACAAGGTGAGGGCAGCTCCTTCTGGCTCTATCCCAGGTCTCCTCAGGATTCCCAGACCAGAGTGTGGTCCTGGTCCTTGGTCTTGGACATCCCCATAGATGTCTCCAGGCCGATGACCTCTGACCCTAAAGGGGATGGGGTTCTTGGTCAACAGGTGAAGAACCTGACAGAGGAGATGGCTGGGCTAG